CAACAATAAAAGCTACCGCGTGGCTCTACCACTGTTATTTTTTATGATTTGGATTGCCAACATAAGAAATAGCAATAAATTTATAATGTTGATGTTTGTCCAAGTGCAATTTGCGTATGTAAACTCCCTCCACAATACAGGAAAAATCCTAGTATGGGGTCACGTCTTTTAAAAAAAATATACATAAAAAACTATTGACCGTTAGCGATACCATACGTATCTAAAGATTATTGGGTATTTTACTCTTAGGTGATCCCCAGAGCCCTGTCAGTTTTTGAGTCAGTAAAAGGGACAGTTTAATGCATCATAGAACCACATTCTACATCGGATATAAAATATGATATTATTCTCCTTATAAAACATAGGGTTTTAAATTGATGTTTTTTACAACTAGTAAATAATTAGTTATAATATCCGCTCTACATCAGGCGTTACAGACTTAAACACAAGTACTGTTATTTAAAATTTGTTTATATATATCCCGACCGCAACAATGTGTGATACTCTGAATAAGCCCGGACTCTTCTTACTTACTTACAACATAACGAGGGATGTTATTTTAATCAAATGAATACAAAATTAACATCTTAATTGCGACAATGTCCAGTATTTTACCTTTTTGGCTACATTATGAAATACAAAATGGTAGTTTTATAAAAATGTGTATTTTGTTGAAATTTTAAAAAATTAATTCATTCTAAAAACCTCTGTTTTTAGAATAAGTCTCCAACGGTTTTTCAAAAAATCTCATTAACAATTTAATTAAAAAGAAACAAAAGCATGTTATTCACAACTCTCTGTACGCGGTTCAACCTCAAAGTGTTCGTCGATATGTGAGCAGTTTGACCTACTTAGGCCCCATATCTGAAAAAGTAGCTAATACTCTTCGACAAAACGGCATTTATGTGGCGTCCAAAATAAACAATTCTCTTAGAAATATCTGTAATAATAAAGATAAGTTGGATATTCGTCAAAAATCAGGTGTTTACAAACTTGTTTATGGCAAATGCCACGCCGTTTACGTGGGTCAGACTGGTCGCAATTTCGAGACACGTTATAAAGAGCATTTAGCCGCGTACAGAAATCGCAATCCCGATAAATCCCATTTTGCCAAACATCTTTTGGAAGCTGGACACAGCCTAGCCAACGACCACTCCTTTAGAGTCGTACATACGTGTAATAAAGGGCTGCGGCTGTGTGTGCTGTAACAGTTTGAGATATTAAAAAATAATAATAGAACCGTTCCACTGCTGAATGAACAAACAAATTTTACTAACTCACCTCTCAGAATCGTCATTTCTCCACGCGAACGAAGGCGCGGTCGGCTCAGCTAGTCTAAAATAATTTGCAAGCAATAGCACGGCTTTAGGTGCATATGTGTGCTTCCGACAGTGAAATTTTACGGGATGTTATAGGAAAAAAAAAAGAAGAAAAACATTCGCAGCGTCAGTCGTTCTTTATTTGTTCGTATGCATCTTTAAAGAACATTTCCAAATTCCCTCACACCATGGAAAATAAATTATAAACTAGAGAAAAACTCATCGCGCTTTTCAATTCTAAATAAAGCCTTTGTGCAAATCATAGACTAAAATTACGTCAGTTTAATGTTTATAAAACACTTCAAATTCTTCTTTGTTATAAATGGTAATATTGTTTCAATACTGTAGTATTCATAAGAAAACACATTGCATGTACTACAAAATATGTTTTAATGATTTATTGTATTTACCGCGATGTGTTGATGAGATATTCATATACAGTTTACTTTTAAGTAATATTAATTCTTATGATTAATTTCATTATATTTGTTTGTTACATTACTTTAAATAAAATGAACGACAATTGTGGAAATAAGAAATCAATGTACATTTAGTATGAATTATAATGTTTAAAGTGTTCTTCAATATTTCCTAAGTCTTTGAATTTTATTTAAAGTAAATTTTAAATTGATTCGAGTCTAAGCGTTAGTATTTTGAGAACGTGTTTTCCTTTCCTCTAGAAAATATTTATTGCAACGTGCTTTTAACTATTTAGCTAAAAGTTTTTCGCTTGGGTTTCAGGTAGTCTAAAATAAACTATATAATAAAATGGGGAACTGTTAAAAGTTATAGCTCAGCTGTTTAGTGAAAATGTTTGAGTTTTCCTTTTCTTAAATATATATATATATATAATATATATATAAGTATATATATATATATATATATATATATATATATATATATATATATATATATATATATATATATATATATATATTTAAAATAATACTTCTCCGAAATACTGTCCAACCATACTTGAGGTAACTATAACTAGTTTTACGTAGATTTTAAACATAAAAAGCAAAGCATTATTCTTGTTGCTTGATACACCACACTATTATTAATAATTATATTAATTAATAATATTAGTTCACTAATGTTGACTATTTTAGCCTTGCAGCAATAATAAAGTGATAAGCTGTGTAAGCGGTAAGCTGTTACAACAGTTATAGTACACCTGCAACCAACTTAAAATGAATATGACCACAAATTCGCTGTTACCTTTTTAGAGAATTAAATAAAGTCAACCTAATGTTAATTTAAAGCTATAAATCATAAACATAGCCTACATCTCTTCTCGATTAGAAGTCGTCCGCCTCCTGTTCTATTGACGGACCATACGAAACATTGAAGAATGATACTACTAATCTACGTTAATATTTGTAAGAACGTGGTTCTTCCTCTTTCTATCCGAAGCGTTCGTGCTATAGCCACAACATATCCACAGCTTGATTTGTCTATGCAAATAAATTCAGGAGACCACGATTAAATGTCTTGCAGTGTGTAATTCAAGTGTCTTAGTGGCACACAGAAGCTGCATTCCTATGTTACGGTTTGAAAGTAACCGGTTACAACCCTTTCTCCTGAGCTGGAAAGTGTATACATCCCAGAGATATGTTGAGTCAATAATGCATTAATTATTTTTTTTTATAGAATAAGGGTGACAAACTAGCACACAGTCCACCTGATGGTAAGTGGTTGCTGTGGCCCATAGACAGCTGCATCTATCTTCGTTAGCAAATTAAAATGCACATGCGTTGTCAGCCGTGAGGACTAAGATGGAATGCCTTTTTTCCAGTAAAAAGGGTCTCCGGTTCTCTACACTCACCATACGAAACACAGTAGCATTAAGCTGCTATTTTACGCTGGTATTCTGTGAGAGCGCGGTCATTCCCCGGTCGAGCCATTCGTGCTACAACTACACTATTAATATAGCTGCAGCGTGGCTCTACCACGTAAAAAATAAATAATTATTTTTTTTTAATTTCATTTATTTTTAGCGATTCGTTCCGGCTTTATCTGAGTGGGGTCTATTAATGTAGCGTCATTTAGATTTTTTTAATAATTATCATTAACTACTTGTTTTATTAATTTTTCGATTTCATAAAATACTTTAGGATTTTTGGATATAATATAACCTAAATCACTCCTGGCATTGCTGTCTATTTGTCTGAGCGTTAGCGATTGTGAGTAGTATGTAATTGAGCGAGAGCTTTTGCAATCAAAGACCATTTACATAAACGATTTTTGTTTTTTTTTTTCATTTAAATATTTTTTTCTGTCTGTTCGTGAAATTTTTACACATTCGGTTCAGCCATTTCAAAGATTGGCCCGGACAGACAAACTGACAAAATTTTTACAAACCCTCTGAGGTCGATAAATGTCTGTTATTTCGATATTGCAGACAGACACTTCAATTTTATTTTTATTTTTATGTTTGTGTTTGAAAGTTTGTGAGATTGAGATTGAAAGCTAGATAAAATCGTAGATAATTTTAATTTTAAAAATTTTAACACTCCATAATTAATTATTCATTTTTGAGTATTTTTTTAATGTATATAATGTGTATATGTTAAAATATATAGGTAGTAGGTACATATATAATAGGGATTTAAAATCTGCGCCAGACGTTAATAACTTTTGTTAGGAGCAACCCATAAATCAAGTGAAGCTTCATGAATTAATAAAACGATAATAGCATGACCGATCGTTTCATGGAAATTTTTCAATTATGTTTCATCTAAGAAAAAAAGCCGGATAATATGACATATAGGGTGGCTCCCACACTGCCTTAATATTAAATGCATGGAAAAAAAGACATATGACTTTCAATTACCACAAAAGATAGCAAAAGAATGTAACATTATAGTACGCAGGGTTTAGCTATTGCTAGAAGAATTTCGATTGTAAATTCACAATTTTTGAGGTAAAAACTTTATGACAACATCCAATTTTTATTATATTTCGTAAGTTTACGAACTTTAGTGATTTACAAATTAAACTGTTTTTAAAAAAATTCGTGCTTTATTGTGAATCATGAAATTGTATATGAATAAAAAAATATTCTATGACTGCATATGAATAATAATGAAACTTATTTTTACGGATTTTATCGCGTTTAATTAAACTTTTTGATTCCCGACGTTTCAGGTGCACAGCACCAGTGGTCACGGGGGGGGGGAGGGACACTGAGGTGTTTGACATCCCGATGTCATAGTTAGCCCGGCTGCCTTCAGTTTTTGAATATTAATTTTTGGTCCGATCTACGCAGAATGAGCTTACAGTATCTTGAAATCATGCAGTGGTATGCTTGGGTTTGGATTTAATATTATTAACTATAGGATCCCAAGCAGATGGCAGCACCCATCCATCTTCTCTATTAAAATTAGGATGCTTTTTTAATTTCAATAGCCTCGCGAATCATCCTTGTCTGTGACGCCTCTGAGATAGGGTAGTACAGCAGGCACACGTTCGACTGTGGCTGGCTTCACTCGGTCACTGTTGTTGTGGGTAGTCTAAAAATATTATATATTAGGAAACCGCCTTTATTAATAAAGACAGTTGTCATCTGAACTCTGTTGTTTCATTGTCACTACATGGTGGCAGCGGTTAAAATACCTAAATAGTTTTGGATTTTACGTTTGAATAACGTTAATTTGTATTCTAAATTAAGTGTAAAGGATGGAGCATGCAAGACCGCCAACCGAATTGAGTTTAGATGGCAGCCCCGTCGGCCGGGCTGACGCATGGAAGCGGTGGAAGGCACAATTCAATCTTTTTCTTAAAGCATCGGGGGTGCACAAAGAAGAGGGAAGCATACAGGCGAGTTTGCTCATTAATCTGATTGGATCAGATGGATTTGATGTTTATGAGACTTTTACATTCGATTCAGAAGAGCAACGTGAGGACATCGAAATATTGATGAAAAAATTTGACGAGTATTTCGGTGTTCAATCTAATATAACATTACTGAGATATAATTTTTTTACGAGGTATCAAGAAACTGGAGAATCTATTGATCAATATGTAACAGCGTTAAAGTTACTCAGTAAAAACTGTGAATTTAAAAATTTAGAGCAAGAGTTGATTCGCGACCGTATTGTGTGCGGCATAAGGAGCACAATTGTAAGGGACCGGTTGTTACGGACAGATGAATTGACTCTGGAGAAAGCAATTAAAATATGTCAAGCTGATGAAATGTCAACAGACAGCAAGCGTGTGATGGAGACAGGTAGCTTCGGCAGTTCGGCGAGCTGCGGGCCCGTGCGCGTTGAGGCGCTGGCGATGCGCGGTGGCGAGCGGCGCGGTGGCGGACGCAGCGGCGGGCGCGGCGGCCGGCGCGGCGCGCGAGCTGCGCACGGCGGGACCGCGACGTCGCCCTGTCCGCGTTGTGGTGCTCAGTGTACTGATGTAGATTCATGTCCAGCTATTTCGGTGAAATGCTATGTGTGCGGTAACTACGGCCATTACGCTAGGATGTGCAAATGTAAAAATAGTGTTAAAAAAATGTATGAAATAGAAGTGAATACAGAAAAATCTAATAATGATGATTGTGAGTCGTTTTATGTATCTGTGTTAATGGACAAAACGCAGAACAAAATCGGCGGCGATGACTGGTACGAGGTATTAAGAGGTGAGTGTGGCTTTGAACGTTTTAAGCTGGATACCGGTGCCGACATTAATGTGTTATGTTATAAGAGATTTTTAACGCTAGGGTTTGACACGGAAATGATATGCAATAATAATAAAATGAAATTACAGTCGTTTAGCGGGGATGTTATTCCGATAAGAGGAGTTTGTCATCTTAAATGGTGGCATAAAAGTAAAATGTATGTTTTAAAATTCGCAATAGCAAATATTAATTGTGAAAGTGTGCTGGGTCGACAAGCGTGTTCGGAACTAGGGTTAATTCAACGGGTTTACGGCATTAATTTGGTAGAAAATTCGGATCTTTTTGAAGGCTTAGGATGCTTACCTGGTGAGTACCATATAGTTATTGATAAATCAGTTAAACCTGTAGTTTGTGCTCCGCGAAAAGTACCTCTAGGATTACGTGATAAATTATTAGAAGAATTAAACAGGATGACTGACTTAGGAGTCATTAGAAAGGTCACTCACCCAACACAATGGGTTAATTCAATAGTAATTGCAGCAAAAAAGAACGGAACATTGCGAATTTGCTTAGACCCGAGACCTCTTAATAATGCTATACAGCGTGCACATTTCCAACTGCCAACCATTAAGGAACTTGCCACTAAAATTCACGGAGCTAGTTTTTTTTCAGTATTAGACGCAAATTCAGGTTTTTGGGCAATAAAACTTGATGATCAGAGTTCAGACTTATGCACCTTTAGTACACCGTTTGGGCGCTATCAGTATTTAAGATTACCTTATGGGTTAAACTGCGCTTCAGAGGTGTTTCATGCTAAGATTAAGCAATTAATAGAGGATTTAGATGGAGTAGATTCTTTTATAGACGATATAATATGCTGGGGACGAAATAAAGACGAACATGATAGGCGTTTAAATGCATTATTAAATAGGGCTCGTGAAATTAATTTAAAATTTAATAAAGATAAATGTCGTATATGCGTTGAGGAAGTAACTTACTTGGGTCATATATTTAACAAAAACGGGATGAAACCAGATTTAGAAAAAGTAAAAGCAATAAAAAATATGCCAACTCCAAAAGAACGAAAATCATTAGAACGATTTTTAGGAGCCGTAAATTATTTATCTAAGTTTATACCTAAGTATTCTGAGCGTATTTTTCCGCTTACTCGATTATTGAAAAAGGACACAGAATGGTGTTGGGAGAGTGAACAACAGAATGCGTTTGATTTATTAAAATATTTAATAAGCAAATCACCCGTGTTGGCTTTATATGACGTATCGCAACCGGCTGTAGTTTCGGTGGACGCGAGCAGTGTAGCGCTAGGAGCCGTGCTGTTGCAGGGCGGCCGACCTATTGAATATACTTCATGTACACTCACCGACACACAGACACGATATGCGCAGATAGAAAAAGAAATGCTAGCTATTCTCTTTGCGTGTGAAAAGTTCCACCAATATATTTACGGTAAAAGTGATGTTTTAATTGAAACAGATCATAAACCGTTAGAAAGCATTTTTAAAAAACCCTTAGATTCGATACCAGCACGCTTACAGCGAATGATTTTACGATTACAATGTTATGATTTGATAGTTACATATAAGCCTGGAAAATATATGTACTTGGCCGATACATTGTCACGTGCTCCTATTCCAGAACTATATAATGATAAAGTGAGTGATAATGTATTATGTCAAGTGCATATGATAGTTTCTAACATGCCCGTTTCACATAAAAAATTAAGTGTAATTAAAAATGAGACTTTGAAAGATAATAACTTAAAACTTTTAATGAGATATATAAATCAGGGTTGGCCGGAATATAAAAGAGACATTGAAGATAATTTAAAATATTATTGGTCAATGAGAGGAGATTTATTTTGTGTAGATGGCGTTATATTTAAAAACAAACAAATATTAATTCCCAGTTCCTTAAGAACCGAAATGTTAAAAATTATACATGATGGACATTTAGGGATAGACCGCTGTAAAAGGCGCGCACGTGAAGTGCTATTCTGGCCAGGGATTTCTTATGATATAGAGAGATATGTAAATAGGTGTGTAGTGTGTCGAGAGAATTCAAATAACTCGAGTAAGGAACCGATGATTGCTGTTTCTATTCCAAATTTACCATGGAGTAAAATCGGGACAGACATATTTCAGTATGGTAAAAAATCATATCTGATTATTGTGGACTATTATTCATGTTTTACGGAAGTAGCATTGTTACATGAAACTACTTCTAAAAGCGTCATAAACGTACTGAGAGAAAATTTTGCTAGGTATGGGATACCAGACATTGCAATAAGCGATAATGGTCCACAATTTTCAAGTCGGGAATTTAAAAACTTTGCGGTGGAGTGGGGATTTGAACACATAACGTCATCACCCAATTACGCACAATCAAATGGTAAGAGTGAAAGAGCCGTGCAAACAATAAAAAAGATATTAAAAAAATCCATAGATAGTGGAAGTGACTTTTATTTAAATTTGCTAAGTTATCGAAATACGCCTCGCGATAATTTGAATTCTCCCGCACAGCTGTTGATGGGTCGTAGGTTAAAATGCAGGCTACCTGTGCACCCAGACCTTTTAAAAATAGGACATGTAAATAATGAGAGTCAACACAAAGTTATGCTAGATAAACAAAATAAATACAAAATGTATTATGATTTACGTGCCAAGCCTTTACCTGTATTGGATGTTGGCGATAAGGTGACTATGATAGAAAAAAATAATTCTAAAATTCCAGGTCATATCATTGCAAAAGCGGCGACTCCCCGCTCATATTTTATTAAAACTAAAAGAGGAATGGTGTATCGCCGCAATCGCAGACATTTAATAAAAGATAAAACACAAGAAAATAGAACGTCAGCACAAATAGTACATGAGAATAAAGAACATAATTCAATGACAACAAAAACTACTTTTACGAGTAGTGAAAATGAGGAATATTCTTCGAACGATGAATATGAACCGACAATGTTAAATATTGAAGTTAATGAAAATTATTCTCCGCCTCTCACTCGAAGTAAAGTAAATAAAAACAAAAAATAACCGGTTTAATTAATCCTTTGTATTCAAAAAAAAAATGTACTTAAGTAAGTTTTTTATTCATGTCTTTCTTGGTAAGATTATTTAAAAATAGATCACTTTTGTTAAAAACTTATTCTTTAAGGGGAAGGTGTTGTGGGTAGTCTAAAAATATTATATATTAGGAAACCGCCTTTATTAATAAAGACAGTTGTCATCTGAACTCTGTTGTTTCATTGTCACTACAACTGTGACGTAGGCGCGGGACCCGAAGCTTGTTGTCTTAAAATACTTGCTTGACGTACTGAAGCTCGGCGGCCAGATGTTTTCTGTCACAGATCCCTCGTGCTCTCTAAAACAAAGATATTCTCACGGCAGCTAACTGTGATGGATGATGGTGCGATTCACCATTTAAATATCGGTTGGTATGGGTCTTATTTCTATACACAGCGTGACCAATAGTGTTATCAGGGTGCTGTAAAACACCCGAAACGTCGGTAATTAAAAAGTTAAATTAAACGCGCATAAAATCCGTAAAAATTAGTTTCGTTTAATGTGTAGTCTTTGCGTTAATATTAGAAATCATTATATGAATAATAATAATTAAATATTAAAAATTTTATACAACCGACTTCAATATACATTATTAAGAATAACTCAAAAACTATTGGTTAAAACTTGTTCAAATTTATATGGGACCATATGAAAAGCACCAGCTTTCAAAAGAAAAACAAAAGAATCATCGAAATCGGTTCACCCAGAAAAAAGTTACAAGGTAAAAAAAAACGTACAGTCGAATTGAGTACCGTCTCCTTATTGAAGTCGGTAGAAAAATTATCTTTACTTTCGTAAGGTCGGTTACATCGCATTAAATATGAATGTCATTAAAACGCATTCTATTCGATTATGTTTTAATGACACTCAACTTTTTATTTAATAAAAAACCTCGATAAATTGCTGGGTATAATAAACAATAATAATTACTAGATTATTTCATTGCAAAAGCGTTACTTTACTCTTTCTGTAGCGGAGACAATGGGATCGTTACGTCTTACGTAGCAAGTAACTTTAATGTGTGTAAAAATTAAAAACAAAAGTATGTTTATGTCCTAAGATAACTGATTTGTTTATAGAATTGAGATTTAAAACGAACATACACTCCACTTGATAGTAGATGGGTTCATAGAGATCTATCCTATATTATGATACAAATAAACGTAAATGCGTTATCACCCGCGAGGTCTCTTTACCGATAATAATTAAAAATTAAAAATTTTGTACAGCCGACTTCAGTATAAGTTATTAAGAATAACTCAAAAACTAGTGGTCTGATTTTGATCAAAGTATGGGATCACACGAGAAGTACCAGCTTTAAAATAAAAAGAGAATAATCGCAATCGGTTCACCCAGTAAAAAGTTATGAGGTAACACATATAAAAAAACATACAGTCAAATTGAGTACCGTCTCCTTTTTGGAAGTCTGCAGAAAAAGGATCTCCGTCACTTCATCACTATATGAAACATCAAACGTTGCAGTATTTTCATTATTTTATTAATTACATTTTCTTCATTAAAATTAGTATTAATTCTCCTTCATTAATAATAATTCTTCATTAACATTTTCTAAATTCATATTACTGTAAATATTCAAATGTAATCAGAATTTCTTCAAGGTTGAAACACAAGTTTAGTACTTAAATTTCGCGTTTAGCAACTGAACACAACACAGTTCGACCACTGATCGCATCACTGAGATTGTGTATTAAAATTTTCTGATTTACCATGTGCCCGGCAGTGAATGAAAATATAAAATCTCAATGTATTAGGAATAAAATTGTGTTTTATATTTTTCCAACACGCACCACAGCAGCGCAACTCACTTATTTCTTCATCACCATCTATGAGAGAAGGCCGTGACGTGAATAGTGCACACAATTGAGAGAAAGCGGGAGGTGTTCTTCAAATTAGGTAAGATATATAATTTCATATTCTTTTATTACGCGGATCTTAGCTAATAACTTCTAATTTAACGTCTCTAATATAATAGCTTTTCTATATTAGAATTAATCAACTTTTATTTACGTTACGTAATACTTTTCACATCGTTGTGCAGATTAGTGACGAACTATCGATTAACTTTTCCATTGTATCATAAACTGAAATGTGTACTATTATTATTATTCTTCGTGGAAGTAGGAAAATACTTAAAACACAATTCGTACAGCTGCTTTTGGCATAAAGCGCGAAAATTTATGATAAATTTTCAATGCTCTTGACATTTCATTTTTACGAGAACGGCAAATTTTGTGGGCATTTTCAGCACCAAATGCAAACTAAAATACTTGTGCAAATTTTAAATAACCGTGAACATAACAAAGACGTCTAAAAGTATGAAAATTTTGCAATAATAATGAAAAAGTTAAAGATTTAGTTTAACTATAATCTGAATCGGACATCAATTATTAAATAGCTATGTTTTTACCGTCTGTAGCAGCTTTGTTTTCCTTCTGTGCATGTGGCAAAGTTTCACATCATTACGACTAAATTGGTCAAATGACAGTCTTATACACATGTAATTTGGTTTTGCTAATGATCAACCTAAACACCAATATATTTGTAGGGCAGCTTTATATCGCACAGCGTTCTTGATACGAATACAGTAAATTTCCTCCTTTAACTATATATTATACTTATGATATGAAACTGTGTGTATTTTAGTTTGTTTTTAACACAAATGTTGGCATCTGCTGGTAATCTACCAAGGAGGTACGTCTAAACCATGAGATTGTCATGAATGATTAAAATAACTTTGTCATAGCCTCAGATAATGGACAATTACGACGTAGATCCGATGCAGGTGTCTCAGGATCGTGTTTTGTAGTATGCCTTGGGGGAGACCTACGTTCAGCAGGAACTTGTGAAAGGCTTTAATGATGATGATGAATGATACACTGATGAGTTAATTACGCGAACTTTTCATCGATAAGAACTTACATTTTTGTTACCTTTTTTAGTATTGTTTTTTGTAATTTAAATAAATGCGAATCCGGTATTTTGAACAACACTACCAGATTATAAATTTAAATAGCTTACAGAGGCGTGGCTTTAATTTGCACACTGCTAACTAAGCCAATTAATGTCAACGTAAAGATGAATAATTTCGTAGCTAATAATGATTCGACGTTTCCGCTGTTATTAACAAATTACTCTCGGTTTTCAGCATTGCTGACTTTTGAATTAATTGATACAATTTGGTAACTCGACCGGGAGAAATTCGTCTCGTTAGATAAATATGTTTCAATTTATTTCATCGGTCTCCTGTCATAAGCTAATTATGAATTTCAAGTAATATATGTAGCAGTGGAGTTTTTGTTCATTAAAACTACAAATACGTGAAGTACTTAATTATGAAAAATGTGTGAAGATATTTAATGTTGACTGTCATAATGATGGTAATATTTTTGGCAACTACTAACTTAATATGCTTTCTAGTGAAAAGATCTATCTTCCTTACTTATAAATTTTATAATATAAGCTAAGCCCATTTTTATGATATCTGTTGATATGCTCCGCGGTGAAGGAAAACATGGTAAGGAAATACATGTCTGAGTAATAAGAAAAAAATATTTCGAAGACATGTAAAGTTCGCCCTCTCAGAAATTAGAGAAGGCCTGTGCCCAGCAGTAAGGTACATATAAGCTGTAACTTTAACTTTTTTAAGATCATTAACTATTAGAAGGAGTTGTTATTAATAGCTAACTTATAATATCTGTCTTGTCACTATTATTGTCATATTTTACGTAGTTGTGTGCTTTAGGGATTCGGCTTGACTATCAATAATGTCTCTGAAAAGCGACACGGTTAAGACAAGAAGAAGCCCTTGTCTAGAAACTGGTTGGTGGTACCAGCTAATAAAGTAGATATACTTATTTTATAAAAGAAATATTTTATTTACAATTGAGATTTAGTCCTATTCCTTTTTGATCCTTGCGAACTCTCTGCCGCCTATCATAAGTGATTGCGAATATTTATTAATATTTATGAAACGTGTAAGGGAATAACCGAGTAATAAAGAAATAAAAAATATCCACTACCCCATTATGTCCCCTGTGTTTCCTGAGAGTCAACAGAGGGCCACAAGTCATCAGGAGATGGGCAACAGTGTCCTTCTAATAAATACCAAATGTAAAACTAGCTGCGGTTGCGAACCCGCCTTCCTAGCGCGCCAACTACGTTAAATATTAGGTATTATTAATCACTCTGTCCCTCTAATTAAGCAATCTGTGGGGGAGGCCTATGTTCAGCAATGAACTTTTGAGGGGATGTAATGGTAAGACAATAAAAATTATAATAATAGCATCTTGCTACTAAAATAATAATATATATTATTTCTATATTTTAAGTGTAGTATTGACCGTGTAGTGGCGGTATAAGAATACCACAGAACACTATTACTCCTAGCACAAATACCCACTACCCCATATCGTCCCGTGGGAGTCGTGAGAGGTGAAATAGGGAAACCATAGGAGATGGGCAGCAGCATTTTCCTCAATTTACCCCACAAACATTTAATGAAAATCGGTCTAGCCGTTTAGAAGAAATAAAATTACGAGCACACGCACATCGAAACTTAGATTAGTAAACAAAACATAGATTATATATATTTTTTTTTCATTTTTCATTTCAGCCCTTCACAAGTCCACTGCTGAACATAGGCCTCCCCCAAAGAATGCCACAAAGCACGGTCCTGAGCCACCTGCATCCATCGACTTCCTGCATATCTTACCAGGTCGTCACTCCATCTAGTGGGTTATATATATATATATATATATATATATATATATATATATCGAAAATTTACTACTACTAATCTACTATAAACTTTACATTATGTTTGCTCTTTAGCACATGTTAACAGGCAATTTACCGCATCAAAGATGATCAAAAGGTCGTATTAAGTTCTGGATTCTGAGAAAGGAACGCTGTTTATCACTGCTTTAATTATTAAACTCTCTCGTAAGGGC